ATATTTTAAAAAAAAATGTTATGATAAAGAGAGAATTTTATGCCATTTTGAGAAAAGGGATCTCCTGAAAAAAAGTTGTGAATATAGAAAACTGGTCAGTACGTGACATTGTCTCACATATTAATTTCATGGTACATATATCGATAAAAGTATATAACCTTTTTGTCAAACTGACTGGCAGCGGTTGGGTGATCCTCACCCTAGTTGGATTCAGTTGTTTTGTTCTTCACAAATACCTGCTCATTCAGAGTCCTATGAATAAAATATAACCTTGAAAATCATGGTTGTATCACAAAACAGCACATTTTGTGACACTGGTTTGAAAAGTTGTGTGAATGCTTGGATGTACCATTATGCCAACATCAGAGTATACGTCCAAGTTGTTTATGGCTCCTTCTCTTGTCAAAGGATGCCACATTAGCAGGGAGAAGACTAATGATTTCTGTGGCGAAGATGATCCAGAAAACTGTTGTGACACCAGTGATACACCCTCTGACAGCTGCTCCTTCAGAGGAAGAAGAAAGGGAGAGAGGGATCCTACATCCACATTCAGAAATAGTGAAGAACTCAAGAGGGCAGAGGTGGCATGGTGCAATGTGTTTCAACCCACTAGAACCACATATCCAACTGGCTCTGTGACTGGGCTAGAGGTGAAAAGTGCATCATAAAAGAGGTTCAAGTAGGGAAAATAATTCAAATGTGTTTATTGTGGCCCTTTCGGTAAATGTGTCTTGCATCTCATCACAAACAGTCACAGCTCACATTAGCCTTAGCTAGAGCGGAGTTAACCCATCCCTGCTAGATTTAGCCATGAGGTCTTGAGTGACCATACCGAGTCAGGGTGTCTCAACTGAAAAACAGCACACTTGACAGGGAAGTGTCCCTATCCCTTCCCAAGGGCACTGGGGTAAGAGTGGCCCCTAGGCCTTCCACCAACACTTCTAGTAGCTACAGTGCCTTGCAAAAGTATTCATCCCGCTTGCCGTTTTTCCTATTTTCTTGCATTACAACCAGTAATTTAAGTTGATTTTTATTTGGATTTCATGTCATACACAAAATAGTCCAAATTGGTGAAGTGAAATGAAAGAAATAACTTGTTTCAAAACATTCTAAAAAATAAATAACGGAAAAGTGATGCGTGCATATGTATTCACCCCCTTTGCTATGAAGCCCCTAAATAAGATCTGGTGCAACCAATTACCTTCAGAAGTCACATAATTAGTTAAATAAAGTCCACCTGTGTGCAATCTAAGTGTCACGTGATCTCAGTATATATACACCTGTTCTGAAAGGCCCCAGAGTCTGCAACACCACTAAGCAAGGGGCACCACCAAGCAAGCAGCACCATGAAGACCAAGGAGCTCTCCAAACAGGTCAGGGACAAAGTTGTGGAGAAGTACAGATCAGGGTTGGGTTATAAAAAAATATCAGAAACTTTGAACATCCCACGGAGCACCATTAAATCCATTATTAAAAAATTGAAAGAATATGGCACCACAACAAACCTGCCAAGAGAGGGCCGCCCACCAGGCAAGGAGGGCATTAATCAGAGAGGCAACGAAGAGACCAATGATAACCCTGAAGGAGCTGCAAAGCTCCACAGCGGAGATTGGAGTATCTGTCCATAGGACCACTTTAAGCCGTACACTCCACAGAGCTGGGCTTTACGGAAAAGTGGCCAGAAAAAAGCCATTGCTTAAAGAAAGAAATAGGCAAACGCGTTTGGTGTTCGCCAAAAGGCATGTCGGAGACTCCCCAAACATATGGAAGAAGGTACTCTGGTCAGATGAGACTAAAATGTAGCTTTTTGGTCATCAAGGAAAACGCTATGTCTGGCGCAAACCCAACACTTCTCATCACCCTGAGAACACCATTCCCAAAGTGAAGCATGGTGGTGGCAGCATCATGCTGTGGATATGTTTTTCATCGGCAGGGACTGGGAAACTGGTCAGAATTGAAGAAATGATGGATGGCGCTAAATACAGGGAAATTCTTGAGGGAAACCTGTTTCAGTCTTCCAAAGATTTGAGACTGGGACGGAGGTTCACCTTCCAGCAGGACAATGACCCTAAGCATACTGCTAAAGCAACACTCGAGTGTCTTGGAATGGCCTAGTCAAAGCCCAGACCTCAATCCAATTGAGAATCTGTAGTATGACTTAAAGATTGCTGTACACCAGCAGAACCCATCCAACTTGAAGGAGCTGGAGCAGTTTTGACTTGAAGAATGGGCAAAAGTCAGAGTGGCTAGATGTGCCAAGCTTATAGAGACATACCCCACGAGACTTGCAGCTGTAAATGCTGCAAGAGGTGGCTCTACAAAGTATTGACTGGGGGGGGGGGGGGGGGGGGGGTAGGCATGTTGTGTAAATCAAATGATACAACCCCCCCCCCCCCCCCCCCCCCCCAAAAAAAAATCAATTTTTATTCCAGGTTATAAGGCAACAAAATAGAAAAAAGGCCTATTAACCCAGACCAGCATGATTCTGCTTCGCTTCAGATTAACCACGCATGGAAAAGGTACAAGGTTGTGGTCTTTTGACTGTATGACCATGACTAAGATTGTCTCAGGTGATCCAGCACATGACATCCCACCTCTTTAATTATTCAACTGCACTCTAACTGAAATGGAACATAACATTTTTGTTATCAACATCGAGCCTCCTCTCTGATAGTCTAGCTTTTTGAAAGTAATGACATTATCAAGAACAGAACCTAATTTATGAACAGTACACCCTGGATGTGTTTTTCAAGTCTCACATTCTCCTTAAATGGTTTACAATAGTGTTTCCCTCTGCATTCTGTGGGCAATCTCTCCATGCTCATAATGTAGTTTCAAAGTGTTTCACGGTTTGTCTGATTTGAATGGTAGGATGAAGCGCCATCTCCTGGAGACTGATGTTCCTCAACTCTATGCGACGCGATGAAGAGGACTTTCATCCTTCACTTTCCAATGGATGGCAATGACCATCTGACGTCTGATTTTTAACGACTGCCACGTGGTATTTAAAAAATTAAATTAAAATAGATAATCACAAAATAAGACATGGGCATTAGGATCACATCAGTATCCATGTGCTACAAATTGATAAGACCCAAAACGTATACAAATGGAAATGCTATCCAGTTTGATGGAGACCGGGACCATGGACCGGACAGGTGGATGATTGTTATATAGCCTTTTACAATAGGAAAGTGAGACACGTGCCGGACCATCGCAACCTCGTGGAGAATCTGAGAGCGCGCCCCTAAATCATGGTCTGACATTTATACATAAAATAAAGTAGGTGTTCTAGTGTTCTGATCTCTGATTGGTCTGGATTGGTCGAGGTCACTTCCATTGCATTGGCTCTGAGTCGGGTTCTCTGTCTTCAGATGTTCAGCCTAAGAGAAGGGGGTTTTTGTGTGTGTGTGCTTAACAATGATGATGTGTGTGTGTGTGTGTGTGCGTGTGTGTATGTGTGTGAGTGTGTGTGTATGTGTGTGTGTGTGTATGTGTGTGTATGTGTGTGTGTGTGTATGTGTGTATGTTTAACAATGATGATGTGTGTGTGTGTGTGTGTGTGTATGTGTGTGTGTGTGTGGGGGTGTGTGTGTGTATGTCCTCAGAGCAATAACTCGTGAGTTTGGGAGAACTGAGAGACCTATGGCGTGGGTGTTGTCCATAGCCACCTGCTGATAAGGCCGACAAGATAGAAGTCTTTGTGCATTGTATTAAATCCAAAGGCCCAACACAAGATGGGTTATGCACAAGATTTTAGTCAGACCAAGCTATAACATTATATATTTACTACGACAAAAATAATGTCTTCACTGCTCTGAAAACAGGTATATGTCATTTATTTGTGAAATCGTAACGCTGCACCTAACCATTTGACTGTTGCCAGCAGGTCTATGTCATTAACGGGTCTGGCAGCGTCCACTCAATTGGAACGCGCTGGAGCCGTCCAGGTGCTGAAAATGTAAAAGACAGACAGCATCCCCTACCAAGGTCCGCTGAGGTCAGGTGCGCTTAAGTAAGAGCTATGTTACATGATGTTAGATACAGTCTCACTCAGACATGTTGAATGGTCAGACGTTAAATGTCTTTGTATATGAATAGCTTGTTCGCTTGAATCTTATTCTTGCGCACAGGGCCTATTCTTGTTCCGTTGCACCCATGTAGCTTTGGTATGATGTAGCAAATCATCTGATTAACGTCTCGGTTTATCATTAGCTTCGTGAAGTATTTGCGGAATTGCCCACTTCACTTGTGCGGAGTTCTGGGAGGAATCATTAATGATTCCTTACTGCCACCTTGTGGATTTCATTACAAACCTTACGCACTGACTTCGAATTTCTCAATTTTTCTGCTAATAAAGGAAATATAAATATTGCGCAATCATCTTGAAAATCAGAAGATTTTGACAATATTGCTTTGGGCATTAATTGTCTCTAAATTGTATTATTGATAACATATTGCTTCTAGCCTATAGAGCAGGAGCATTCAACTCATACCCTACCAGGTCCGGAGCCTACTGGTTTTCTGTTCTGCCTGATAATTAATTGCACACACCTGGTGTCCCAGGTCTAAATCAGTCCGTGATTAGAGAGGAACAATTAAAAAAACGCAGTGGAACTGGCTTTGAAGTCCAGAGTTGAGTTTGAGGGCTATAGAGGAACCGATGAACCCATACATACTGAGATTAACAAAACATCCTAATCCCATACTTTTCAGTAATTTAGCAGACGCACTTATTCCAGAGGGACATTTAGGGTTAAATTCCTTGCTCAAGGGCACATCAACAGATTTTTCACTTAGTCGGTTCGGGATTTCGAACTAGCGACCTTTCAGTTACTGGCCCAACGCTCTTAACCGCTAGGCTCCCTGACCCGTTACAGAAGAAAATCAACAATAACCTAAAAGGAGATGGGTCTTTTGAATATGGTTGCCTACTATTCGGATTTCTCAAGAACAAGGCAACGACCTCTCTCCTCCCCCCTCCTTCATCCCTTATGGGCGTAATGTGTTGCTCTGCTCATAGGATCAAACTTTCTAAGTCCATGTTCGTGACCAGGATTCCAAATCGAGGTATATAGCTTCAAAGGCAATCAAACACTTCCCAAAAGTCACGTTATAGCTGAAAGCGACAAGATTCAGTGTAAATTTGCAGACAAAGCAGATCTGTTCGATATTGGGTGGAAATATGCAGCACCAGAGACGGTATTGGTGTGACTCATGCGTGCGTAGTAACGAATAAATAGGCAATGCACGCTCTAAATATCAGCAAATCAAACGTACTTCACCGAAAAGGTCACCGTGGATGGGATTTTGTAGACAATTGATATGCAAAACCCTGTTTTTCTTAGTGTCAAAAGCGCACCAGACGTTGCGTTGCCAAAGGACTTTATTTGATCGTCTTCGCATAGTTTCTTTTTTGGACTACTTGGTCACCTGTACCCATCCTCAGCACGGTAAGCTTCTTTTTAACAGGGGATTCTTATTTTACAAGAGCAGGCTAAATCTTCTTTGTTCATTGAAGCGTTATGATAAATTGACGTTTGAGATGCTCTAACAGGTGTTTTAAATTATTCCACAAGGTGTTGTAAGGTACATACAGAGAACAATACATGCTATTCATATTAATTGATATGTCTGTTTGCTGATCGAGCTATGACGGACGGTTTATTATTGTATGGGCATGCGTTTTTGTTGAATTGAAATTGACCTAGATCAGGGTCATCATTATATTTACAAATCATCCTCTTAATTAAGGAGTCACTATCCTGTTTGTCAATCAATTCTGTTAACAGACTATTTTGGGTTATTTATTTATCAAATGAATACTTAATTTATCGGAGGTTTGACGGTTCACTTAACTTGCCTATATGATAAATCACCAGATGAGCTGTTATGGCATTTAGTTGATCATTTATCAAGGCTAATTCAATGTTTAATTAGTTTTAGGCTTAAACTTTTCAAGTCCTATTCATCAAAGGCAGATCAATATCAACCTCTCTGAAACCAAAGACACTTGCTGTGATGCCTCATTATCCACATTGACAGTAGATCAGGTTATATAGCCAATAAGTTATTTTGCCATAGGTTTTTACTTTCATATCTGTATGGAATCAGGATAAAAAAATGATGTGCAGCCTCAACCAACCTGTTAATTGATGTTTGAGAATAAATCTACCCTGGCTGCCAGACGATGTCTTCGACATGTCTGTCGTGTCATGACCCTTGTTTATTCGCAGTTGTGGATTTCTGTCAGCGTTTGTATGAAGAATCGATCTTAAAATATCCTATTGATACATTTAAAATAGTTAGGCATGTCATTATCTATATCCTATATTTTATGTCTCCGACAGCTATTCTTTCTCCTCTCCTTACAGTTAATGGGACTTTTCATCTTGGATAAAATAAGAGAGGTTTCACTGAAATTGACAGTGCGCTTTGGAGTGAGGACTTTTGTACTGTATTTTAGGAGTGATGGCGGCGTCTGCACCTTCCTCCTCTGGCGGGGAACCCGATCCCAACTCGACAAATTTACGACCACCAGGCACAAGTAGGTCCATCACAAATAAAACGCTATTTCAATTGTGCTATTTACTTTGTGAGCAATGGCATTAAACATTTCCATGGAGGAAAATAACTGTAGACTACCATTTTAAATGCCACCCAACAAATCACCGCAGCATTGCATGCGCAGCGGACCTCCCGGCATCATGCTTGATAGACGAATCTTGCTGTCAAAATTAAAAACACGAACTGTCGGTATTGATAAAGACGAAAATCGCCAAATAATGTAGCTATATCTTTCAAAATAATATTACAGCCTACTTTAAATATTATTATTATGTTATTTGGGCTCCCGAGTGGCGCAGCGGTCTAAGACACTGCATCTCAGTGCTTGAGGCGTCACTACAGACCCCCTGGTTCGATTCCAGGCTGTATCACAACCGGCCGTGATTGGGAGTCCCATAGGGCGGCGCACAAATGGTCGTCCGGGTTTGGCCGGTGTAGGCCGTCATTGTAAATAAGAATTTGTTCTTAACTGACTTGCTTAGTTAAATAATGAAAAATATTATTTATTATGCTTTTATTAGATTACTATTGCATTTCAGAAAGAAGTAGGTTATATTATTTCAGTGGATTTCTTCCGTCGTGGTTGGAAAGTGAGAGTGAGTGAGGTTTAGGGGGTAATTATGTGCAAAGTAGCGTTAATTGTAGCCACACTAAAGCCCCGTTTATACCTGGTTCTAACTTGCGTCCTTTGCCCTGATCCTTTCCCATTCTGATTGTTGTGCCCACATTTTTAGACAGGTGTAGACAATCAAAAGACACATTGTGATCTGATTGTGATCAGATAATCCTGCCAAACTCCGGTGGTAGTCAGACACACATTGTGTCTGAATATCTTACAAGTGTAGACAGATCTGGACATAGAAACCATTTAAATCATTATTCTGCATAATTTGCATGAAGGAAGGGACCAGGAAATCTGGTCACGATGCAGACACAGTGGGCAAATAACAGACACATTTTAATACCATGTGTAGACACATTACTGGAAATGTGGGTACAAGCAGAATGTATACAAGATCAGGACAAAGGACCCATGTTAGCACCAGGTATAAACTGGGCTTAAATTGGCCCTAATGGCATGTGTTCAGGCGCCTTATTGTAACCTCCATCAGCTGAGCGGGGATGTAGCCCTGCTCTACCTCAATACTCTTCATTATCCAAGAGCTATTGGTGAAAAACACATAGCCTACATCCCAATTAGTCGTCCAAGCACATTCAAATTTTGTTGCAAAGTTTTCCATAAATGGCATTTTCCTTGGGCAATCATAAAGCTCTGATTTTGATATCGACAACACCCCAGTGTCAATTATGCATTTGCAAAGGTAAACGATTAAGCTACGCAATTTAAAATGAAGTCAGTTCAGATGTATTCAAATAGCAAAACTGCACCTCAAGTTTTTCAAGGGATTTAGTCATTGCTGAATTTGCTTGCCAAACTGTGCTTGCTTTGTCGCTTCCTTGGCTTGATGGTTTGCCAAAACCATTAGACTGGCGTCATGCCAGTATTACATGCAGAAATTTGGAACTTACATTTTGTCTGTGTCTCTATTGACATCAATGCTTGATTTACGCGAAAACCCGAATCACGCACGTGGATCTCAAGCCTATTCCGCCCATAATTGGCCCAATTAGGCTATTTGGCATTCTAAACGTCATATTTAAGATATTTCTGTTGCCTTTGTGTTTTCTTTCATGGGTGAAACCTTGGCGTAGATTCTGGTCCAGAATTATGGGATTCTGTGTGGAGCTATCTGTCCCTTGTCCCTTTCACTGGCCTCTGACAAAATTATTCAATTCCTAGACCTAGACTATGCTCCCACAAACACACACCATCTCCCCAATTTAATCCCTGGAAGCGGAAGCCCTTAATAGCGGTGTAATGCTCAACCCTTTATCACTGCCTCATGTCTGGTGATGCATACCGATATTTTCAGCATTTTCTCACCCAATTAGTTCCTTAGCACAATCCCAAACGGCTAAATGACGACTGTAAATCTGAAATGCCCCGTTATTGTAATATCATTGGGCTAAAGAAGAATAATTTGTTAAATATTAATATATAATCTTATACATTGTCTGCTGCTTCAACACGTTTCAACATTTCCCCATCCATCGCTTTGAGTTTGTAATTATTTTAGCAGAAATAATGCATTTGAGGCTTAATGTAAGGGCCCTGTCAATAGTTTTCCAAAACTATTTTAGGCTATGACGCTTGGTGTGGAGTTGCTCATGGATGTACTAGAAAATTGGGAATGAAGATATGTGGTAAGTTTGCTATTTTCATGTCATGTATTTTCTTGGACTAAATATTTAATTTTCATGTGTAGGCTATATTGTTCCTAAGTTTTTCACAAGAAAAAATGATCATAGTTTGCATATGTAGGCCTATGTTGCATATTTTATGTTATTCAACGCTGAGCAAGCAGACCATTCTCATATCTGAGGAATATGGGCTATGTTGGTCTGAAACACAAAGACTGCAGCCTGGGTGGCTGTGGTTTCGGCCTTCTGCCCCTTTAGGTTTTCTCTTGTCGCATGAGTGGGTTTTCATGCGGAAAGGATGATAATGTCCATAATGATTATTACCACGGAATGCATAGTGACAAACCTGTTTTTAATTAATATGAAAAGCAGTTTGAAAAACTGCAGAGACCACATGCCTAGCTATTGGTCCAGAAAGAAATAGAAAGGTCTACATTGGCGTCTCAAAATGGAATATGAGCGCTCTTTAGTCTTGCATATGTTTTCAATATGAGTGTGTGTTTTCTTACCCAGCTATTCCATTTTTAAATTCTTAGGCCCTAATAAAATCGTACTCTTGCGCCTCCCATGGCGTACCTGAGAAATAAAGTCCTACGTTTGCCGATGTGTAATGACCTTGGAATACACAATTAGCCAACTGTAGGTTATCCAACCCCCTTCAATTTTGGGGGGTAATTTCTAATAAACATGAACATATACAGTGGATTTGACTACATTAGTTGTAGTAGGCCTAATCAACAAGTATGATAGCCTACTGTCTTTATTTTTGCTTGCCATACCTTTGTCTTTTTCTTAATATATCTCGGTAGCCTATAGTTTGATAACTGAGCGGGTGTCATTCATTAAAGCTATATCCTATTTGGTGGAATGGTTGGTATCGGTCCTTATCATAAGAGCCCATCTGAAGAGAAAAGATGAACGAGACGCGTCTGAAATCGCAATTCGTCAAGGTTCTGTTCTACCGAGATAGTGCTGTCAGTCAGTCTTCTGCTCCACAATACGAACCGATTAAGTGGAAGCAAAATGCCTTAGCCCTATCTGATATGGCCAAGCGTTGAGTCAGTTATTGTTCCATCAGGGCCAATCAATGCCCAAGAGTATAGGCATAATGCAAATACAAATCTAGTTTGATGTTTTAATGCGATGTTGACGCAATTGTAACGTTTTGGTTTTATCTGATTCACTATCCGGTTATAGACCTATAGGCCTGTATGGCACGTTTCATCTCTGTTTTTTAAGTGCAATGATATTGGTCTAAAAACATCAAAACCTGTCTCTCTTGCTTGACCAAGTGAAATGTTGGTTTAAATGACTTCACGTGAGACAGAAGCAAGCTTATTCAGACTATAGTCTAACATCTCCTTTTCTGAAAGTGAAATAATAAAATACATTATATTAAAAACTAAATAAAATGAATTAACATGAAATAAAACCAACTTTCATCTTTTGATATACTTTTATGTACTTTTTATTTATTACTCCAAAGGGTGTGGGCTATGGCATATAATTGGGTTTCACATCTTATAGGCCTAGCTATCTCATCTTAAATATTGCATTATTTATAGTAAAATAAGATAATAAATAAGATCACATTGCAGGAATTATTATTGTTATTAATAATCTCAGCAGGAGATTTGGAAAATGTGTTATTTTTAGAAGGGCCAATCTAGAAATCAGATTTAGTTTGGGAGAAATCGGTAGGGCTAAATAACATTTGAGTTAATGTGGTGTTCTCCACAGGCCTATGAGCAGACGGGCTATAAAATGTCCCATATATCATCTCAGCCCAGTCCAACTATTAGGTCTCTCTTCAGGCTTTAATGACATCGGTTCATTGTGTGCTCTTCCCTGCTTACTGAAGTGGAATCTGTTGGAGGGACTTAATACGAATGTACATACACTAAATTACGGATATTTGTTTTTGCTTGGCTGGATTTTCGTGCTGATGTCACGGGGCTCAACCTCCCACTGACTCTTCCTCCCATAAATAGGCTTCCCTGGACAGGATGGGAATTAGGCTACCTCAAAACTAGCCTACATCACAGCATTGTCAGCTCAACCAGTGAGAGTAGTTATGCATGTGTTTTGTGTAAAAAGGGTGTCATCAAAATGATTGGGAGTGATGATAGTAATCACTCATTTGAATCCTCTGCCCCTCGCAACAATTTAGGATTTTTGCAGAAGAACAACAACCTCGAGGAGAAGATTAGTTCCTTCAAGGAAAGATCGTCTAAGGACCTGCTTGATAACAGCGACAGGGATTCCCGTTTCAGACGCACCGAGACAGACTTTTCCAATCTATTTGCTAGAGGTAATTGGCTGAATTATTTCCATTATGGGAAATGTAGGTCTATCAGTCAAAATGATCAAAATTATGTAGGGATCTTGTTAATGTTCGTTTTGTGCAGTTGTTTTTACAATAAATGGAAAATGAGTCAACTTGAAAATGTTAATTATCTTACTGATGCGAAGATTAGCCTAATTGATCAAATCTTTATAATCGGTCTAAATCTCAGTGATGTTTGACATTATGGGCAATAGATAACATAGAAATATCACAGATCAGGGGAAGTTTTTAAAACACATTTTGTGAAAAATAATAAGTATATAAAAAATTTAATATTCACCATTTGTTTTACCATAATAACCTTCTAGATCAATTTGTAATAGCTGTAAAATAGCCTAGGTTACTCAGGGACACTCACTGGAGGAATAGCTTAAAGGGTCATTCATTTGTTGCTGAAAATGACTTTCTAATTGATACAATTTACACCAGCTTTAGAGAGGAAACCCAAATAAATAGTTTTCAAGGAGTTGGGAAGTAGAACGAAGTCATGATAAATTCTACAGAATATTGTGAAAGTGACCTCTTTAAAACACACTTAAGTGATGAAGGATGCAAAAAAAAAGTGATTGATTTATTTTCGAAAATGAGAAAAACACAAAATATCGATGTGCTTCAATTTCTCACCCTAGATTTATTACCAGCCAAAAATGGAGAGGAGCCAACCATGCAGTTCTTGCTGGAGGTGGTGGATATTCTCACAAACTACGTCCGGAAGACCTTTGACAGATCCACCAAGGTCCTGGATTTCCACCACCCCCACCAGCTACTGGAGGGCATGGAGGGCTTCAACCTGGAGCTGTCCGACCAGCCTGAGTCCCTGGAGCAGATCCTGGTGGACTGCAGGGATACCCTGAAGTATGGCGTGAGAACAGGTGAAGACAGAGGAGGCATGATGCAGAGCTAACCCTCAGCATAATCAAGATCTCCCATTTGTCTACAATGATTACAGATAATCCCATAGTTAAATTATGAAGCTTTCATGAGAAATGTATTAACGACAAATGGTGTTGTCTTCCTCCTAGGTCACCCCAGGTTTTTCAATCAGCTATCCACTGGCTTAGACATCATTGGGTTGGCAGGAGAATGGCTCACCTCCACTGCAAACACTAACATGTGAGTGGTCTTGATCTCCCCCAGTTATTACACATTTATGATACATTTAAATATGTTTATAATCAAAAATCGAAGGATCCTCAAATATTGTAAATATGTGTACAGTATATGAATTATTAAAGTCCTCTCGATTTTGTGCAAAATGTTATGTGGACAATTAGGCCAAACCCATGGTCTTAGTTAGAGTTCCATAGCTCTCGATTTAGGCTGGGATTGTGATAAGGGGTTGAAAGATCTAATTTAGCAGTGAGTGGTTTTCGTTTGGGTGGATGTAAGTCTGGCACTGAAGAAAAATGACATTTCCTACCATTTTTCAAATGGCCTTAGAAGATTTTTGTTGAAGATGAAGATCAGTAGAAGTGACATAATTGGGGCCCTTGATGAGCTTCTAAATGAAGGATCCTGAGGATGCTCTCCAAGCTGCCACTTAAGCAAGTAAAATGTGACATGGCAAGCATGAAGAGGAGAGTTGTGAGTTAGTTATCTGTTTGCTGTATTATTGTTGACGACAAACACTGTGGCTGTAGTCATAATACAGCCCTGCAGGAAAAGGTTGTTTTATGTAACACTCTTTGGATCAGAGATAATGGTACAACAACAGAATGATATTCTCCCTTGAGATGTGCAGCAGAAATGTGAACAACAGACATAGTGATGTTTTTCCGTGGGAAGGGCAATCTGGAAGAGACAGCATTATGATACACCAGGTGTCCAGGGGCTTGTCCAGGATAAACGTTGATGCTTCATTGGCCATGGGCTATTGTTGACCGGTTCACACACAGATTACCAGCTGAGGCTGCCGAGTCATTTAAGGTACTGGCCAGAGTGTATCAGCTGCTGTAACATGCTGATATTGTCTACGACCTCAGCCTAAAACCCATCAGGGCATTGTAAAATCATCATAACAAAACAAAAAAAACGATATGAAAAATGTTGTAGCCTAAGCATTGATGAAACATTGCATTTCTGTGTGGTAAGAGCCAGAGTCATCTGTGTGGTAAGAGCCAGAGTCATCTGTGTGGTAAGAGCCAGAGTCATCTGTGTGGTAAGAGCCAGAGTCATCTGTGTGGTAAGAGCCAGAGTCATCTGTGTGGTAAGAGCCAGAGTCATCTGTGTGGTAAGAGCCAGAGTCATCTGTGTGGTAAGAGCCAGAGTCATCTGTGTGGTAAGAGCCAGAGTCATCTGTGTGGTCATGATATTGCCATTCTTATTTAAAAACAGCACATAAATACAAGCTCACCACCAACGCTGAGGCTCTTCATGCCAAGGATTCATTTATTATGCCTGGCCCCTGGCTTAATAAAAAGTTCAACCCTCTCCTGATTTAGCTTTTTATTTATTGTAATCCCCAAAGGATTTCCCCCAATGTTTTGAAGAGTCTTTAGTTTGTCAAGCTCATCGCATTGATGTGATGCTGAAGAGTGTTCTGGTGAGAGTGTTAGCCCGTGTGCTACATGGCAACACTACTGTAGACGAATTGAATCAGAGGTCGGGCTCTGACTGCATACATATTTGCATTAGCTAATTACTCCATCATCATTCATTACCCCTGACATTTATTGATTGACACTAATTGGTTGACAATCATGTCATAGGGTTATTATCAGGATTAGTCTACATGAGTGAGCAAGCGAAAATTCATTTGGGACATAACTCCTAGCTTTTTTTTTTTTACATTGTTACTGGATATGCTAGCAAGAGAAATAAAACATATGTGCTGTGTGGATGGCACAGTGTGATACACCGTATTGTCCCACTAATGCATTGACTTTCATTGCATGAATAGACAGGCTGTGTAATTAGGAGAGCATTGGGCAGAACATAGTGAAGATGGATGAGCTACTGTGGTTGGGCATCCATTTAATTCTACATTGATATTGCACTACCCTGGAGGGAATTCTATAACATGTTCTAATGATATGGAAGCAATCCTTTATTTTGTAATCGTGATTGCATTGAATAAACATGACTGTAATCCTATCATTCCTATTGTAAAGGAGAAACAACCATTTTTCCATCATTACTCTCAGAGATGGGCCTCGAGTGTAATATACTGTCTGTATTAAAAACAAACTCAGTGGAAGCTGGCCTCCAGACAAACCTCTGATACAAAGGCAATGGCATTCTCATTGTGTTACATCAAATTTCTAGCCTCTTCTTCTTGCTAACTCAGAGACAAGAGCTCCCTCTTGGTGGCATATTCTTAATGGACTTCCGCCTATGTGACATTCGTGTTCTCTCTCATTCCACTGCAACAAATTGTATCCCTAATACAATGTGACAGCGCTATCATTGAAACGTGGCTACGTTAAAAGTAGTATGCATGTTCCATGCTTTCTCTGGCTTCAATGTGGCACTGCTAATATACACTATAAGAAACATATGTAATGACAATTCAAGAACACAGCAAACAAAAAATTATTGGCTGTTATCACTATGGTGATGCATTATCCTGGGATTCTGCCACCTACCTTCACTGATTCTGCTTATGTCAATATAGACAATGTAGATATGAGAAACAAATGGCAATATGAGAGTTCAAGACCAATGATAGAATGGATTTCTAATGGTAGTGGGTAACTGGAGACAGGTGCTCTGTTTCAGGTTCACCTATGAGATAGCTCCAGTCTTTGTGCTCATGGAACAGCTGACGCTGAAGAAGATGAGGGAGATCATTGGCTGGCCAGATGGAGAGGGCGATGGGATATTCTCACCAGGTGAGTGCAAAGCCTATGTTGATCAACGGTTGTCAATTCGGCCATGCCTTGAGAATCTGAGAAGGGAATAAACCTACTGTTACAGATGAATATTCCTTACGCAAAACTTCAGATAATAAAATGCAGTTAAGTGAAACAATAAAATGCAGTTAAGTGAAACATTGTATGCACTGTCTGTGCAGGTGGAGCGATATCCAACATGTACAGTGTGATGACCGCCCGTTACAAGTTCTTCCCTGAAGTCAAGACCAAAGGCATGAATGCTGCCCCCAGACTGGTGCTCTTCACCTCAGAGCATGTAAGCCACATACAGTCTCCTCATAACATCTGATTATAACATGCATTTTCACATCACAATATGTCTCCAGTCTCAGAAACAGCATTATATTACCAAAACAGTCTTACTGTTACTTATTGTGTCACTACTCAATTGACCCTGTCTATTCTGTGTAAAGAGTTCATGGCATGCCTGATTCAAAGCTACGATATGGCCCTCATTGAAACTGATAAAACAATTGGACAGTACAGCTGACTGTATCTCAGACCTCAGCTGATAGGCTAGTAGTCTGATGCCATGGTCATGTGTTTTGACAGAGTCACTACTCTATAAAGAAAGCCAGTGCTGCTCTGGGCTTTGGAACAGAAAACCTGATCCTGTTGAACACAGATGAGAGGTTTGTGGATCCATGTCCAATACACTGCACTGTGTCAAACAACCCAATGAAAACATCCCTTTGACTGTCTGTTTGCTTCTTTAGAGGGAGAGTCATTCCTGCTGATTTGGAAGCCAAGGTCATCGATGCCAAGGCGCGGGTGAGTTTCAGTCAGACAATCAACTTGAAATTGTGGATTCGTTCCCGCTGAAGACATTAATTACCTTCTGTTTGTTTCTGCACTGAAACTGAATTCTTATGAGACCAGCTGCCTAATATGAATCCAGTCGTTACCTGAATAGTCAGGTCATTACTTGTTTACAAAACAAAAACATGTCTACTTTCATTTTAGGGTTAGTGCTTATGCCTCCTAAAATATTATCTTACTCACTGCCACTAGTTCCAAAGCACAGTCTCCTGAAGCTAATTCCGTTAGAGGAGGGAGGTGATAGCAGGGTCTCTGCAATGCGTGTGCAGTTCTGCTGTGACAAAGGCTTGCCAAGAGAAATAGTCAAATGTCTGTGAAGTCTGCTCAAACCTATTTATTTTCAGTCAAACATTACCGAAACTGAAGAATGCAACCATTTCAATTCACTGCAATAATATAAGAACCCATATTCATTCTGATGGATTATGCTTGCAGGGTTGTGTCCCAATGTTCGTGAATGCAACAGCTGGTTCCACAGTGTATGGAGCGTTCGACCCCATCCATGAGATTGCAGACATCTGCGAGAAATACAACATGTGGCTACATGTGGATGTAAGTGCATCTTCCTACTATGAATACAGGAAGGTTATTGTGATGTTGATCATTTCAGGGTTGATTGCAATACGTTTTCATGGTGGGCTAAGCTTTAGTTTAAACATATCAGCCACTTTCAGGTCTAATCCTTATCCTCAAAACAAACGGTTGTTTTTGTTCAGGGTGCATGGGGAGGAGGCCTACTGATGTCCAGGAAGCACAGGCACAAGCTGAGTGGCGTGGAAAGGTAGGCTACAGCCCTGACAACCTACCACGGTCTCACACACACACATTGGTGACTGTGGCCTGTCTTACAGCCGGTGTTCCATGTTTACAGGGCCAACTCAGTCACCTGGAACCCTCATAAGATGATGGGTGTGCCACTGCAGTGCTCTGCCATTCTGGTCAGAGAGCGGGTAAGAGCAATACTGACTGAGTTTTCACTTATGGTGTATGATTAGCAATGGTCATCGAAATTGTAATAAATGTAACAATTGGACAATGGATGAAGATACTTCAAACTTTTTCAGATATTGACTGAATTATAGCACATAAAACATTTTACTGGCACGGACAAATAATGAATGGAGTTCAGGGATTTTGTTGGGAATTCAGCTATTCAATTTATTGTAAAATTTCAGTTTTTTTCTTCTTAGAATGCGCATATAATTTTCTTTATTATTTTTTAAATACCTGATAGAATGCATATATGTGTATATATATATATATGTGCCTCATTTGCGTAAATACACCTGGTGTACTTGCATATATGAATACATTAACATGAAGGGGTGGAATAGGGCTGCAACCACCAAACACTTGCTCTGTCTACCCTATACCTGCATGGCTAGACTGCCTCATTAATTAATGTTGTCACGTTCTGTGTGTCATAGCAGGATACCCTCGGATAAAAAATCTACACACTTAGCTCTAGATTAAACATATATATACATACTTCACATTGTTTGCGAGATCAGACATAATATCACAATAATCTGAGTGTTCATTTTCTCATATGTAAACATTTCAACTGTGTTAAATGATTCATTTTTTCAATTCCACAAAAAATGAAAACCCATCAAAATAAAGTTATCGTTCTTCTCCGTCTTGTGATGTAAGTGTTGAGACGGTGCGTTAAAACCCCGAATAAGCTTCAGCGTTCTTATAGATTCCATTGAGCCCATTTCAGCCATTACCGGGGTGTGTTTGACAGGTCATTACAAACATTTCAGCGGTCGTAATGTTAACGGGAAAAAATGACAGGCACAAGCAAGAGTATGAAACAGTCGCAGGAGTAAAATTAAAGCAATCTATCTAGCGAGATTTAAGTGACAAGTGGATTTTGCACCCCTCAAACACAGGAAATAGATGGCTGAAAAAGACAGATCCTCAGGTGGGCGGGGCATGCGCGCTGCTAGTGTATACCATGAAACACTCAAGTTAGGTCACAAGTCACAGAGATTTGGCATACTATTCATATGAATAGAGCCCAGTTTGAAGGCACCATTGAACTTTAAGTATCTGCCTCTCGCCTCTCGCCTTTGTCCTTTAACCACACCATTGATCTTTACAGGGAGTTTTATCAGGCTGCAACTCAATGTGTGCTGGCTACCTCTTCCAACCAGACAAACAGTATGATGTATCGTACGACACAGGGGACAAGGCCATCCAGTGTGGACGACACGTAGATATCTTCAAATTCTGGCTCATGTGGAAAGCAAAGGTATGTGCACATATCTCCCCAAGCTTTTGTTCTAATACTAAATCCGGCTATATTATGTAAAGCATATGACAGGGATTGATCTTGGATGCTGATCTTGGATCATGTAACAAAAAAAAGAGTAATGTTTGATACAGTGAGGGAAAAAAGTATTTGATCCCCTGCTGATTTTGTACATTTGCCCACTGACAAAGACATGATCAGTCTATAATATTAATGGTAGGTTTATTTGAACAGTGAGAGACAGAATAACAACAACAAAATCCAGAAAAACGCATGTCAAAAATGTTATAAATTGATTTGCATTTTAATGAGGGAAGTAAGTATTTTTTATTTTTTATTTCACCTTTATTTAACCAGGTAAGCCAGTTGAGAACAAGTTCTCATTTACAACTGCGACCTGGCCAAGATAAAGCAAAGCAGTGCGATAAAAACAACAACACAGAGTTACATATGGGGTAAACAAAACATAAAGTCAAAAATACAACAGAAAATATATATACAGTGTGTGCGAATGTAGTAAATTGTGGAGGTAAGGCAATAAATAGGCCATAGTGCAAAATAGTTACAATTTCGTATTAACACTGGAATGATAGATGTGCAAAAGATGATGTGCAAATAAAGATACTGGGGTGCAAATTAGCAAAATAAATAACAATATGGGGATGAGGTAGTTGGGTGGGCTAATTTTAGAATGGCTGTGTACAGGTACAGTGATCGGTAAGCTGCTCTGACAACTGATGCTTAAAGTTAGTGAGGGAGATAAGAGTCTCCAGCTTCAGAGATTTTTGCAGTTTGTTCCAGTCATTGGCAGCAGAGAACTGGAAGGAATGGCGGCCAAAGGAGGTGTTGGCTTTGGGGATGACCAGTGAGATATACCTGCTGGAGCGCAGACTACGGGTGGGTGTTGCTATGGTGACCAGTGAGCTAAGATAAGACGGGGATTTGCCTAGCAGTGATTTATAGATGACCTGGAGCCAGTGGGTTTGGCGACGAATATGTAGTGAGGGGCCAGCCAACAAGAGCGTACAGGTCACAATGGTGGGTAGTATATGGGGCTTTGGTGACAAAACGGATGGCACTGTGATAGACTACATCCAATTTGCTGAGTAGAGTGTTGGAGGCTATTTTGTAAATTACATTGCCGAAATCAAGGATCGGTAGGATAGTCAGTTTTAGGAGGGCATGTTTGGCAGCATGAGTGAAGGAGGCTTTGTTGTGAAATAGGAAGCCGATTCTAGATCTAACTTTTGATTGGAGATGCTTAATGTGAGTCTGGAAGGAGAGTTTACAGTCTAACCAGACACCTAGGTATTTGTAGTTGTCCACATACTCTAGGTCAGACCCGCCGAGAGTAGTGATTATAGTCGGGTGCAAGCAGCGTTCGGTTGAAGAGCATGCATTTAGTTTTACTAGTGTTTAAGAGCAGTTGGAGGCTACAGAAGGAGTGTTGTATGGCGTTGAAGCTCGTTCGGAGGTTTGTTAACACAGTGTCCAATGAAGGGCCAGATGTATACAAAATGGTGTCGTCCGCATAGAGGTGGATCCGAGCGTCACCAGCAGCAAGAGCGACATCATTGATATACACAGAGAATAGAGTCGGCCCGAGAATTGAACCCTGTGGCACCCCCATAGAGACGGCCAGAGGTCCAGACAACAGGCCCTCCGATTTGACACATTGAACTCTATCTGAGAAGTAGTTGGTGAACCAGGCGAGGCAGTCATTAGAGAAACCAAGGCTATTTAGTCTGCCAATAAGAATGCGGTGGTTGACAGTCGAAAGCCTTGGCCAGGTCGATGAAGACGGCTACGCAGTACTGTCTTTTATCGATCGCGGTTATAATATCATTTAGGACCTTGAGCGTGGCTGAGGTGCACCCATGACCAGCTCGGAAACCGGATTGCATAGCGGAGAAGGTACGGTGGGATTCGAAATGATCGGTGATCTGTTTGTTAACTTGGCTTTCAAATACTTTCGAAAGGCAGGGCAGGATGGATATAGGTCTGTAACAGTTTGGATCTAGAGTGTCACCCCCTTTGAAGAGGGGGATGACCGCGGCAGCTTTCCAATCTCTGGGGATCTCAGACGTTACGAAAGAGAGCTTGAACAGGCTAGTAATAGGGGTTGCGACAATTTCGGCGGCTAATTTTAGAAAGAAAGGGTCCAGATTGTCTAGCCCAGCTGATTTGTAGGGGTCCAGATTTTTCAGCTCTTTCAGAACATCAGCTGTCTGAATTTGTGTGAAGGAGAAGCGGGGGGGGGGGGGCATGGGCAAGTTGCAGCGGAGTGTGCAGAGCTGGTGGCGGGGTAGTGGTAGCCAGGTGGAAAGCATGGCCAGCCGTAGCAAAATGCTTGTTGAAATTCTCGATTATTGTAGATTTATCGGTGGTGACAGTGTTTCCTAGCCTCAGTGCAGTGGGCAGTTGGGAGGAGGTGCTCTTATTTTCCATGGACTTCACAGTATCCCAAAACTTTTTGGAGTTAGTGCTACAGGATGCAAATTTCTGTCTGAAAAAGCTAGCCTTTGCTTTCCTAACTGATTGTGTATATTGGTTCCTGACTTCCCTGAAAAGTTGCATATCGCGGGGGCTGTTCGATGCTAATGCAGTACGCCACAGGATGTTTTTGTGGTGGTCAAGGGCAGTCAAGTCTGAGGAGAACCAGGGGCTATATCTGTTCTTAGTTCTGAATTTTTTGAATGGGGCATGCTTATTTAAGATTGAGAGGAAAGCACTTTTAAAGAACAACCAGGCATCCTCTACTGATGGAATGAAGTCAATATCTATCCAGGATACCCGGGCCAGGTCAATTAGAAAGGCATGCTCGCTAAAGTGTTTTAGGGAGCGTTTGACAGTGATGAGGGGTGGTCGTTTGACCGCGGACCCATTACGGACGCAGGCAATAAGGCAGTGATCGCTGAGATCCTGGTTGAAGACAGCGGAGGTGTATTTAGAGGGTACATTTGTCAGGATGATATCTATGAGGGTGCCCATGTTTACAGATTTAGGGTTGTACCTGGTAGGTTCGTTGATAATTTGTGTGAGAATGAGGGCATCTAGTTTAGATTGTAGGTTGGCCGGGGTGTTAAGCATATCCCAGTTTAGGTCACCAAGCAGTACAAACTCTGAGGATAGATGGGGGGCAATCAGTTCACATATGGTGTCCAGGGCACAGCACAGGGCTGAGGGGGGTCTGTAGCAAGCGGCATTATTTCTGGAAAGGTGGATTTTTAGAAGTAGAAGCTCAAACTGTTCGGGCACAGACCTGGCCCCTCTGCAAAACATGACTTAGTACTTGGTGGCAAAACCCTTGTTGGCAATCACAGAGGTCAGACGTTTCTTGTAGTTGGCCACCAGGTTTGCACACATCTCAGGAGGGATTTTGTCCCACTCCTCTTTGCAGATCTTCTCCAAGTCATTAAGGTTTCGAGGCTGACGTTTGGCAACTCGAACCTTCAGCTCCCTCCACAGATTTTCTATGGGATTAAGGTCTGGAGACTGGCTAGGCCACTCCAGGACCTTAATGTGCTTCTTCTTGAGCCACTCCTTTGTTGCCTTGGCTGTGTGTTTTGGGTCATTGTCATGCTGGAATACCCATCCACGACCCATTTTCAATGCCCTGGCTGAGGGAAGGAGGTTCTTACCCAAGATTTGGCGGTACATGGTCCCGTCCATCGTCCCTTTGATGCGGTGAAGTTGTCCTGTCCCCTTAGCAGAAAACCCCCCCCCAAAGCATAATGTTTCCACCTCCATGTTTGACGGTGGGGATAGTGTTCTTGGGGTCATAGGCAGCATTCCTCCTCCTCCAAACACGGCGAGTTGAGTTGATGCCAAAGAGCTCGATTTTGGTCTCATCTGACCACAACACTTTCACCCAGTTATCCTCTGAATCATTCAGATGTTCATTGGCAAACTTCAGACAGCCCTGTATATGTGCTTCCTTGAGCAGGGGGACCTTGCGGGCACTGCAGGATATCAGTCCTTCACAGCGTAGTGTGTTACATTTTACATTTTAGTCATTTAGCAGACGCTCTTATCCAGAGCGACTTACAGTTAGTGAGTGCATACATTATTTATTTTTAGTCACCAAGAAAACAATTACTTATTATTGTTTTCTTAGTGACTATGGTCCCAGCTGCCTTGAGATCATTGACAAGATACTCCCGTGTAGTTCTGGGCTGATTCCTCACCGTTCTCATGATCATTGCAACTCCACGAGGTGAGATCTTGCATGGAGCCCCAGGCCGAGGGAGATTGACTGACAGTTATTTTGTGTTTCTTCCATTTGCGAATAATCGCAACAACTGTTGTCACCTTCTCACCAAGCTGCTTGGCGATGGTCTTGTAGGCCATTTCAGCCTTGTGTAGGTCTACAATCTTGTCCCTGACATCCTTGGAGAGCTCTTTGGTCTTGGCCATGGTGGAGAGTTTGGGATCTGATTGATTGCTTCTGTGGACAGGTGTCTTTTATACAGGCAACAAACTGAGATTAGCTCATTACCTGTATAAAAGACACCTGGGAGCCAGAAAACTTTCTGATTGAGAGGGGGTCAAATACTTATTTCCCTAATTAAAATGCAAATCAATTTATAACATTTTTGACGTGTTTTTCTGGATTTTTGTTGTTATTCTTTCTCTCACTGTTCAAATAAACCTACCATTAAAATTATAGACTGATCATTTCTTTGTCAGTGGGCAAACATACAAAATCAGCAGGGGATCAAATACTTTTTTCCCTCACTGTATTAATTCTCTATGTATATTTCCGCTCCAACAGGGAACAATAGGGTTTGAACACCACATCGACAAGTGCTTGGACCTCTCGCATTACCTCTACACTAAAATCAGGAACCGTGAGGGCTATCAGATGGTGTTCGAGGGAGAGGTGAGATTGATCGCACTGCATTTTCTACTCTGTTCTGTTTCCAAAGATAGTAATATCTTCCAATGGATTACCCTAAGCGTCAGAGAGATCGGAAATATCTGATGAATCAGAAGTCATTCACTGAGGTGCCCAACAGGGTTCTGAGCAACATAATGTAGTGGGCAGGCCTGCCTGAGGTGGTGCTATGCTTTAGAATCCTCAGTTGAACTCCTTGTGGATTTATGAATTTACAGATGTGGGATCTTAATTTGACCAGCTTTGTCGCAGGAGGATCTGATTATTCTCAAAAAAGTGATCATTTCTAACAGGAAATTAGTGTTGATAGGCTACTACAGTAGGCTATAGTTTAGGTGTAGCCAATGGCTCCATTTCAGATACACTTGTATGTCGTTATGGAGACCAATATCGATCTTGTGTTATTAAGATATATAAAACATGGCTGCATTTCAGATACATTTTTGTACATTTCAATGTCGAAGTAGTAGGACCTAGACCTACAGTAGTAGGACATTTATTCTGTCTGGTGCTTTAAAGAGAACTGTGGATTTTCAGTGAATGTATGTAAATTACAAGGCTAATTTGAATTTCCTGCGATGCATGAAAATCCTCATCGACAACAGACTAATCGAATTAAGATACTACATCTATACCTTACATAGCCTCAGCTCTCAATTTGGCCTCTTACTGAGGTTGGCTACTTCTTCGACAGACCATCCATTGAGTAAAGACACTGACAAACAATAGTCTCTGTTTTCTTTCCACAGCCCCAGCACACGAATGTCTGCTTCTGGTACCTTCCGCCAGGCATTCGTGACATGCCCGATGGTCAGGAGAGGCGGGAGAGGTTGCATAAGGTAAGGACTCAACAGCTTTGGTCTATAAAGACTATATTTTGTATTCAAATGAGACAGCACTGACCGACTGTACATTTCTCTGAATTGTCCTTGCCTCTTAACCAGGTGGCCCCCAAGATCAAGGCGATGATGATGGAGTCTGGAACTACCATGGTGGGCTACCAGCCTCAGGGAGACAAGGTCAACTTCTTCCGCATGGTCATCTCCAATCCTGCCGCCACAAGGTCAGATATCGACTTCTTGACCGATGAGATTGAGAGACTGGGGCATGACTTGTAAGGGCCACGCTCATTGGGAGGATGTCGCCCTTTGAACTTTCCTTCTCAGCTTTGTCATGTCCAGCTCTAAAAAGACCCTGAACTACAGCAAGCTTCATATTCCTGTTGTCTCTTGACCAATCATGTAGGACTTTGAAACTTCAGCTGCTTGTAGGACTTTTTAGACCACAGGTAACCTGTGATCCGTCTCATGTGTTTCCTGTCTGTTCTGTCTTTTAGCAGTGACTATGCTATTGTTAGATTTAACTATAACTATTGTACAGTATAGCCTACACAAGAGAATACATATTCACATACTGAGTGACCTAGAGAGATTTTTTCAGTAGGAGACAGAGCACAATGCAAGGGACCTCATGACATGTATATATATATATATATATATATGACAGACATATTTATATATACACACACACAGTTGAAGTCGGAAGTTTACATACACTTAGGTTGGAGTCATTAAAACCACTCCACAAATCTCTTGTTAACAAACAATAGTTTGGGCAAGTCGGTTAGGACATCTACTTAGTGCATGACACAAGTAATTTTTTTAACAATTGTTTACAGACAGATTATTTAACTTATAATTCACTGTATCACAATTCCAGTGGGTCGCGTTCTGTCTCCTAAAGATGAACGTACTTTGGTGTGAAAAGTGCAAATCAATCCCAGAACAACAGCAAAGGACCTTGTGAAGATGCTGGAGGAAACAAGTACAAAAGTATCTATATCCACAGTAAAACAAGTCCTATATCGACATAACCTGAAATGCCGCTCAGCAAGAAAGAAGCCACTGCTCCAAAACCGCCATAAAAAAGCCAGACTACGGTTTGCAGCTGCACATGGGGACAAAGATCTTACTTTTTGGAGAAATGTCCTCTGGTCTGATGAAACAAAAATATAACTGTTTGGCCATAATGACCATCGTTATGTTTGGAGGAAAAAGGGGATGTCTTGCAAGCCGAAGAACACCATCCCAACCGTGAAGCACGGGGGTGGCAGCATCATGCTGTGGGGGTGCTTTGCTGCAGGAGGGACTGGTGCACTTCACAAAGTAGATGGCATCATGAGGAAGGAAAATGATGTGGATATATTGAAGCAACATCTCAAGGCGCATCACTCAGGAAGTTATAGCTTGGTCGCAAATGGGTCTTCCAAATGGACAATGACCCCAAGCATACTTCCAAAGTTGTGGCAAAATGGCTTAAGGACAACAAAGTCAAGGTAGTGGAGTGGCCATCACAAAGCCCTGACCTCAATCCTATAGAAAACGTGTGGGCAGAACTGAAAAAGCATGTGCGAGCAAGGAGGCCTACAAACCTGACTCAGTTACACCAGCTCTGTCAGGAGGAATGGGCCAAAATTCACCCAACTTATTGTGGGAAGCTTGTGGAAGGCTACCTGAAACATTTGACCCAAGTTAAACAATTTAAAGGCAATGCTACCAAATACTAATTGAGTGTATGTAAACTTCTGACCCACTGGGAATGTGATGAAAGAAATAAAAACTGAAATAAATCATTCTCTACTATTATTCTGACATTTCACATTCTTAAAATAAAGTGGTGATCCTAACTGACATAAGACAGGGAATTTGTACTAGGATTAAATGTCAGGAATTGTGAAAAGCCAAATACATTTAAACTAGGTTAAGGTGTATGTAAACTTCCAACTTCAATCGTGTGTATATATATATATATACAGTATATTATAATGTACTGACTATTGGTGCTGTGTGTTGTCCATGTTATTATTAGGCCATATGCAACACTACATTGTATCCTAGCTGCTCTTCCCCTTTCATATTAAGTAGAAGGAATATAACAGTCATTGTAACAGGTACTGTATTCTATTGTTGCGTTTTTTTTAGAGCTAATGAAGTTTGTGTAGATTGTGTATAGTATTGTTACATTGCTTTTGTTGGAAATATATATGTCCTAGTTTTTCAGTAACACATGTTCCAATGATTATAAAAACCACTAAATATAAGTATTTAATAGATTAATCACTTTATTTATATCAAGGAAGTACAGTACCAGTCAAAGGTTTGAACACACCGACTCATTCAAGGTTTTTTCTTTATTTTTTACTATTTTCTACATTGTAGTATAATAGTGAAGACATCAAAACTATGAAAGAACACATATGGAATCATGTAGTAACCCAAAAAGTGATTAATTTTTTTTGAAATATATTCACTAATTTCCTGTTAGAAATGATCACTTTTTTTGAGAATAATCAGATCCTCCTGCGACAAAGCTGGTCAAATTTAAGATCCCACATCTTTATTTGAGATTCTTCAAATAGCCACCCTTTGCCATGATGCCAGCTTTGCACACTTGGCATCTCACTTGGAAAGCTTTTCCAACAGTCTTGAAGGAGTTAGTCACATATGCTGAGCACTTGTTGGCTGCTTTTCCTTCACTCTGCCGTCCGACTCCTCCCAAACGATCTCAATCGAGTTGAGGTCGGGGGATTGCGGAAGCCAGGTCATCTGATGCAGCACTCAATCACTCTCCTTCTTGGTAAAATAGCCCTTACCACAGCCTGGAGGTGTGTTGGGTCATTGTCCTGTTGAAAAACAAATGATAGTCCCACTAAGCCCAAACCAGATGGGATGGTGTATCGCTGCAGAATGCTGTGGTAGCTATGCTGGTTAAGTGTGCCTTGAACTCTAAATAAATCAGTGTCACCAGCAAAGCACACGATAACACCTCCTCCTCCATGCTTTACGGTGGAGATCATCCGTTCACCCACACCGCGTCTCACAAAGACACGGCGGTTGGAACCAAATCTCCAATTTGGACCAATTTGGACTCTAATATCCATTGCTCGTGTTTCTTGGCCCAAGCAGGTCTCTTCTTCTTATTGGTGTCCTTTAGTAGTGGTTCCTTTGCAGCAATTCAACCACGAAGGCCTGATTCACACAGTCCCCTCTGAACAGTTGATGTTGAGATGTGTCTGTGACTTGAATTCTGTGAAGCATTTATTTGGGCTGCAATTTGAGGCTGGTAACTAATGAACTTATCCTCTGCAGCGGAGGTAAATCTGGGTCTTCCATTCCTGTGGCGGTCCTCATGAGAGCCAGTTTCATCATAGCGCTTGATGGTTTTTGTGACTGCACTTGAGGAACTTTCAAAGTTCTTGACATTTTCTTAAAGTAATGGACTGTCGTTTCTCTTTGCTTATTTGAGCTGTTCTTGCCGTAATATGGACTTGGTCTTTTACCAAATAGGGCTATCTTCTGTATACCCCCCTACCTTGTCACAACACAACTGATTGGCTCAAACGCATTAAGAAGGAAAGAAATTCCACAAATTAACTTTTAAGAAGGCACACCTGTTAATTCAAATGCATTCCAGGTGACTACCTCATGAAGCTGGTTGAGTGAATGCCAAGAGTGTGCAAAGCTGTCATCAAGTCAATGGGTGGCTACATGAAGAATCTCAAATATAAAATATATTTTGATTTTTTTTTTGATTGAGTCCATATGTGTTATTTCATAGTTTTGATGTCTTCACTATTATTCTACAATGTAAAAAAATTAAGAAAAACCCTTGAATGAGTAGGTGTGTTCAAACCTTTGACTGGTAGTGTATATGTGTGAAATAGTTATCTATTCCATTTGTAATGTATCCTTACTTATATTTTGAAACACAACTATATATTTCCGAAATGTTTTGAATAATAATATTAAAGGTATTTTAGTGTATATGTGAACCAAAGAAGGGTATGCTTACAAATATATATAAATACCGCCCTTAATATAACCAATAGATGGATTAAGATATTTGTATAGTAATGTGTAACTCAGTCACCACCCTTAACCTTAGTGCAATCTATGTTGTGTAATTGTAATATGTCTTTGTGAATCACAGTGACTGAAATGTTAGAACGTCACATGACTAGCTGTGGGAGGGAAGCTGAGCTCCGTCAGCAGATTTGCTGGTGCTTTATTTAGTGAGAACCACAATGCTAAACTATCTGGGGAAAGATTTTACCCTAGGGACAAAAGATTGTTTGTATTTTAACAGTGGCACATTTTTAGAGCGTTGACTGTTTTGAAGTATTTCACTTCATGAAGTGGGCCATTAAATGAAATATATCATACCTTTCAAATCTATAAACTATTTCATGGATTTTTTTGTCTTTACATGTGCACAATATTATCCTGTGAGAATCGACATGTTGTAAAAGACCAATTGTTTGTCATTGAGATGTTGATTTAAACAAAACAAATGCACAGTTATGGTGATGTTGTTTCTGTGATAAGATATATTGAATACATTCCTCAGTGGGATGGATATCCCCTGTCAAGGTAGGCACTTTAACCTCATACTATGTATAACACATTACTGTCCTATTTACAGCATTAACAGAAATCTCAGCTTTAATAACATTTGGGGGCATATTTTTGCTGTTCTTGTTAATGAGGTCCAATGATCATCTGCTATGCATCGCACTGTTTAAATAAATCTGTGGCTATAAGTCTGCTCGACTTGAGTGAAATGGCTTACTGTTTTTCATACCCTACTGTGTGCAGTGATCTTCCTATAGCACCCTCTGGGGTCCTGTTTTTGGTGGCTGAATAATAAAAAGGCTTTAGGTGACAGACCTGCCTTTATGGACTCAGGTCAGCCATGGGGAACAGCAATGATGTGGCTTTAGGTGACAGACCTGCCTTTATGGACTCAGGTCAGCCATGGGGAACAGCAATGATGTGGCTTTAGGTGACAGACCTGCCTTTATGGACTCTGGTCAGCCATGGGGAACAGCAATGATGTGGCTTTAGGTGACAGACCTGCCTTTATGGACTCAGGTCAGCCATGGGGAACAGCAATGATGTGGCTTTAGGTGACAGACCTGCCTTTATGGACTCAGGTCAGCCATGGGGAACAGCAATGATGTGAGAGCAATTTGGAGCTGATTTACCTCAGACACTCGGCCTTTGCCACCCACCATCCATCCATCATCAGATGCAACTGAATGCAGTCATCTCAATGGTGA